TAGCCGTCGTTTAGGGTTGTCTGTTGCTGCTCTCTGTATAGGGTTGTGTATGGATTGTTGAATGTCATCCACTAGATCGCTCCTTCAGTAGGAGCCGCGCCACCATGAATTCCTTCCCTTGTTGGTATAGTTTGTCATTGCAGCATGGTCCATTGGACAATTATATTGCTCCCTGATATTATCTCTTTTTGTTTTATAAATTTTGTGTGTAGACTCAACAAGATGGCAGGAGAAGCATTCTTGTCGAACATTCTTCTCAATGGACATTATGGGCATGTTGCTGGTCTAGATGACATCACCTTTCCGATGACACAGAACTCCCAGAGTACTCATGGTATTCCTTCTGAACTTGAACCACCAATTGATGTGGATGTACATGCTAGTCGCAGTACAAAGGGAACAAAGAGGCAAAAGAATTTTCACTGGAAGGAAGATGAAGTAGTATGCTCAGGTTGGTTAAATGTTAGCAAAGATCCAATTCATGGTGCTAACCAAACTCGATCCACTTTTTGGGGTAGAGTTCATTTGTTCTTTGAGAAGAACAACAAAACTGGCTCTGTTAGGACAGAGAGCTCCATCATGCATAGGTGGCTGACAATTCAATATCAAGTAAACAAGTTTCATGCTTGCTATGACGCCATTGAGCGTAGGAATCAAAGTGGATGCACTGTCCAAGACATGGTATGTTGTATATTGGTTGCATGTATTTCCTTTCTATTTGACTTCAATTATTTGGTTTTCAAATATATATATGTATATTGGTTGAACAATTATATTTCCTATGCAGGTTTCAGATGCATTGAAGATGTATACGGAAATAGAGGACAAAAAAGGATTTACGCTTATGCCTTGCTGGAAGATACTCAAGGGGGAAGACAAGTGGGCAGCAAAGAGAATAGAGCTTGCTGAGTTGGAGAAACTAGTGAAGCAGAAAATAAACAAGAACACCAAGAAGGCGTCCAGGCCAAGGGAAGAAGAAGAAGCTACCAACAATGATGAAGCTATGGTGGGTGCTGATCAAGAAACCCAAGCAAAAGAAGCAAGGAAAAGGCCAGATGGGGTAAAGAAAGCAAAAGAAGCCCTTAGGCGAGGTGGTGGCGAAGCTTGCATGGAGGCTTTGGACAAGATGTGGGCAAAGAAGGAAGCTTTCGACATGGAAAAAGAGAAGGCAAAGGAGGAGAGGTTTCTTGCTTCTCTTGAGCTAGACAAGGCAACGCTAGAACTTGAGAAGAAGCGTGTGGCAAATGATGAAAAAAGGGCCGAAGCAGAGTTGATGAAAGAAGAGAAAGAAATAATGCTAGTGGACAAGAGGTCTCTCAACCCACTTCAGCTGCAGTGGTGTGAGATGATGCAGAAGAAGATCATGTCAAGGCTTTCACCAAATTAGTTTTAGATATTCTCATTTGAGTTGTGGAATTATCAAGCCTTTAGTTTGTTTTATTTGAACCTATGTTTCATTCATCTTCAGAACCATTGTCGAAGTACAATGCCATGTATCGGATTAATTTGCTTTGAATTACAAGTTATTGTATGCATCAGTACTTTCTTCATTTGAGTTTAAAATGTCTACGTGAATGCTACTGCTGCTCACGGTGTGCATGCTACTGTGTGCATGGCACTGTTCCTGAAAGTGACAGGAAACATTCAGGTTCTCACGAGATAGGTAATATAAAATATAAATCATTAGGTAATATTGTTTTGTCCATCACTATAAAGTATAAATCACATAAAATTATTATGTAGCTAATATAAATCTGGATGATGGTTCCATAGGTGTTCGATGAGGTCTTCTTTCAATTGTACGTGTGTTTCCTTGTTCCTGATCATTCTTTGCGCCTCAATATATCAATCAAGTGTACGAGTAGGCCGACCATGAGCAGGTTCGACATTCTCACCACCATAATCAAAACGCTCGTTAGGGTCGACCACGAATCCTTCGTCTTCCACAATCATGTTGTGCATGATCACACAAGCCCTCATGATCAATGCTACAGTCTCAATGTCCCAAAAGCGAGCTGGTCCTCGAACAATGGCAAACCTAGCTTGAAGAACCCCAAAAGCTCTCTCGACCATCTTCCTTGCTGCTTCTTGCGCTTTGGCAAAATATTGCCTCTTGTTCCCCATAGGAAGAGTAATGGACTTGACTAAAGTAGCCCATGACGGATATATACCATCTGCAAGATAATAACCCATATTGTAGTCATGGCCATTCACAGAATAGTTCACTTCTGGAGCTCTACCTTCTGCCAGGTTATCAAACAAAGGAGATCTATGAAGAACATTGATGTCATTATGAGACCCGGGCATTCCAAAGAAGGCATGCCATATCCAAAGGTCGTTCGAAGCAACAACCTCCAAAATTATAGTGGGCTTGTTCACATGTCCCTTGTACTGACCCTGTTTATCATATGGACAGTTCTTCCACGCCCAATGCATACAATCGATGGACCCTAACATTCCTAGAAATCCTTGTTGCTCACCCATTGCAAGTAAGCGTGCTGTGTCTGCCTCATTGGGATATCTGAGGTATTCATCGCCAAAAATTTCAACAACTGCAGCAACAAACCTACGTAGGCTCTCAAGTGCAGTACTTTCACCAATGCGTACGTACTCATCTGTCACATCAGCTGGAACCCCATAAGTGAGCATACGCATTGCGGCAGTGACTTTTTGGAAGCAAGTCAATCCAAGAACGTTGGCCGCATTCCTTTTCTGCACAAAGTACTCATCGTGTGCTTCAACAGCATTCATTATGCGTAAGAAAAGTTCTCTAGACATCCTGTACCTGAAGAAAACAAAACTAAAGTTTCACAACTCTAATAATATTTGAGCACATGAAACAAATTAATCCGAAGTTAAAGAACAAGAACCTGCGACGGAATATTTCGGGGCCGTATGTTGGATTGTCCGCCAAATAATCTCGAAACATCCTGTCATGGCCGCCTTCTCTATCACGGTTAAGAACTTTATGACCTTCGACAGAGCCACCGTGCCTTCCTTTGGCATTGGAATAGGTTTGCACAATTTGAGCTGCTGATAATATCAGAGAGTCATCATCATCGGATGATGAATCTTCCAATTGTCTTCTCGCTCGGGATCTCTTCCTAGGCATGATTCCTGACCACGAGCAGAGAGGATGAAGAACAAAACCTAGATCACCTGGAGTCCTATAGGAGGTCTACCGGACCTGATGGGACAAGGAGATGGGAGCCTTGGTGGAGTTCCTGACCTGCGACGGGAGGAGTACAAGGAGCACGGCGATCCTGTTCCTGCGGCGGTGTGTACGAGGAATACCGATCGGCGGCGCTTGAAGGAACGAAGGGAAGCCGTCGGGTGTACCAGTCAACAACCTCAACTGGTGGGCCCTCTTTTTTTTTGTTTTGGCAAGTTAAAAATAGGGAATTGTTGGAGAGAGCTTATTTTTCACTTGGTATATTATTATAGCAACTTGTCAAAACACAACATTTGGCAAGTGATTTTTACCAAACTGTTGGAGATGCTCTTAGTGATCTGCATCTGATGAGAGGATGTATGTTGGCCTAAAATAATCGGCAGTATCTGTTGAACCCCATCCTGTTCATGAGGTAAAGCTGAGGTGCAGATAGGAGGATTTGCAGAGAACCAGACAGCTCTTCCATGGTCTGTGTTACTAATTGAGAACAACAGAGACAGAGCACATGCCCCATCACTCTAAATCCCAAAATAATAATAATAAACATTGCCAAGCCCACCTTCTTGGCCTGCTACCGAGCCCGTGGCTCCACCCATGTGCGCGCCACCGGATGGGGAGCCTTCTTGCCCCCGCACTCCTGTGCTTGCCGAGTCTGCCGCCGCTAAGCATGCCACCTCCACCCGGTTGTGGCAATGGCCGAGAGTGAGGCCGGGTGCGGCTAAGCACGTATTGACGACGATGGCACAGTCAAAGGCATGGACCGCCCCTCTCTGGAGATCGAGCACAATAATCTGTGCATGGATGGCCCTCCGACGAGCACAAATCCATGTGGAGATGATTCTCAATGAGCCCCTCATATCTCCTCTCCCTGTTCCTCTTAGATCTGCAGCCCGAGATGGCAGCAACGGTGTCACGTGTAAGGATGGTTGGATTGCCTCTACAAGGATCTACGGGATCTGGGGCGAGCTCCCACGGTGGGCTTCGCAAGGCTCTGGTCGAGATCTACGAGATCATGGTCTAAAGGGTTTCACAACACCGGCGTCAAAATTTGAGGACGACCAACATCGAGATTTTAGGGCCGCCAGCAACCAGCATCGTTGAGCTCGATGTTGTTTTTTTAGGACCCCCTTTGGCATATCTCTAGTAAAGCTATTTTTTTTTTGGAAAACAACTTCATGATTAACTTTCTAGGTAAAGCTGAGCTGTCTTGAAAAAACTGTTTAGCAAAACAGCTTCACCAACAACTTCATGCATGGATAAGAGAGAGAAATAAAGGAGAGAGCTAGGATAATCTACTTTTTTCAGCTTTATCCCACTCATGTTTTTGTGAGAAGGGGAGAAAAACAGCTTTACCCATGAAGCTCTTTTACAAATAAGTGTTTGGCAAAAAAAAAACAGCTCATAACAGCACTCATGTTGACGATTGACTGCATACAAGTCAAAACCAAGGGGTTAAAGGGGATTGAGGGGATTTAATCCCATACAAGTCAAAACCCCCTTCAATTCTCTCCAACTCGGTCCCTTGTTTGGTGTAGAAATGAACAAGGCTTAAGGAGTAGATTGGTAGAATACATGGTTTTATAGATAAGGGGGTGAAACAAATAACTACCAAACGGCTGGAGGTTAAGTAGACTTTTTTTAAAAGAAAAATATAATGACCAAATAGGTACTAGTACACTGCTGCAGACGAGAGACGACTGACAGACTACAAGAAGGAGGAGGAAGCTGTGGACGCGAAGCTGTCGACGGAAGCGGAGGAGTCGACGGAGTCGACCGAGTTCATGGTCTTGTAATAAGCAGCCCGCTGCTGCTGCTGACGGTGACGGCCATGCCCATTCTTTGCGTCCTCCTCCTCTTGCTCTGCTGGCTGCTGCTGCTGCTGCTGCCGGAAGGAGAGAGTTCTTGGGTGCAGGCCACGGGAGGTCCATTGCCATTGCCATGCGGAGTAGGAGGAAGAGGACGGATGGCATGGCAACACTGCACCAGCACTAGGACTAGCGGTGTCCTGCTGCTTATTAATACTCCTGCTGCTGCTGCTGCTGAAAACACCGGTGAGGCCGCCAACAGCAAGATGTTGCTTCTTGACCATGATGGCAGTTCAGCAGATGCAGCTGGCCAATGCAAAGTACCTGGCGTGACTGATGAGAAGGAATGAAGACAGGGACCGAAGTAGCTAGGGATCGGAGGATCGAACAAGAGCTAGCTGGGGAAGAAGACAAGATCGAGTAGCTAGTGGCTAGACCACTACTAGATGGACATGGTCTAGAGGCGTTGGACAGCAAGCAAGCAAGGGATAGATGGAGGTGATGAACTGATGATCCACCCATGCGGCTTGGCTTTTATTTGGAGGTAGGGAGGAGCCCTGCGACTGTGACTGTGAGCAGAATACCCTATTTATATATATGCTAACACTAACAGTACTTCATATATATGCAAAAGTTGCAAACCCCTAATTAAACTAAACTGAGAGCGGCCAGGGTAGGTTACCTAGAGAGCAGAGAGTAGTTGCATTTGCATGCTGATTGAGTGGAGGTTTTATTTTATCAAGACAAATAAGACAACATGCCTGCCTGCACCGTACTCGTACCCCTGCTGCAATGGATCGATCGGAGTAGGGAGACTTTATTTGTTTCTGTATGTATTATTACTTTCCTAGCTAGTTAATTCAGTTTCTTTTCCTTATTCCTCCCTCCCTCTCTCTCTCTCTCTCTCTCTCTCTCTTGTGTTGCCATGGATGCTAGCTAGCTACCCTCCACGTGGAACCTGTCTGCAAGGCTGTAATACATCATGTAAATAAATAGCATCAACGTACTAATGAATTGTTTGCAAATCAATTCATTCATCATGTACCACCTACGTACGCCGTCCCTCCATTTGTTTTGTTGACAAGATAAAGTAATTGCATCTTGACCGGAGTCAAGTAGTTGGTGATATTGGCATATGTAGACATTAGTCTGTATTACAGTCGGACAAATATAATGAAATGTAGCTAGTGCTTGGACGACTGGACACCGGAGGATCCGAGTCTAGCTAGTAGGGTTTGTGGCTAAACTCCCAAGTTGCATCGGGACCTCCTGAGTTACAGTACTTACTACTAATAATCCGGCATTGGTCCCGGATGGTATGGTTCTGGAGGAATTTGGATGGTTTGAAGGAATTCTGTAGGAATTTGTGAGAGAAAAACATTGCTCCTAATAAAAAATGAAGCGGATCAAGCCAGGCACAAATACACGCGAGCGGGGCCATATAGATTCAGGCAGAGAGATGAGAGAAGTCGTCATGTATTGTCCTTCGATTCCCTTGCCCTGCCCTGTGTGCGTGAGTGACTACGTACTGACCGGTGTGTGTGTCTAGTCTGTCGGCTAGCTCATTCATTTGCTGCATCTGCATGCTGCAGGCATTTGTTGCACCAATAATCCATCCATCATCTCCATCGATCTGTCATGTATGCATTGTTTCAGGAATCAGGATGCATTTCTGGGTTGGGCCGTTGGGGATCGGAGGGTATTCTCATCGATCTGGCCGGGTGCCCTGCATCTGCATGCAACATATATACAGTAAACAATGCAATCAATCAGCTGATGGATCAATCGATTTATAGTAAAAGTTGTACTATACTAGGTACGCGTTGCTTTGCTCCCTCCAACATGGCAGGCATTTGTCTGATGCTGGTAGACCGCTTGTGCCACGCTCCAGATTCTCCCATCGTCTCCCCTCCCTTCTCTTCCCTTTTATTCCCTTCTCCCAACATATCGATATAATAGAGATAGAGATCCGTGAGATGAGTTGTTGCAATGCAAGAAGGAATTACTACTTCACAAGTTAGCCTAGCTGTGGCTTCAATAATTCTTCAGTAATGCTCTTGCCCGACGTTCGGACGGACAGACGCTTCACTCTACTTACTCCCGTACCTAAAAAAATATTATCTCTCGCTTCCTCCTCTCCATGTGCTTATCCCTTCCGCCCTCGCGCCCTGCCCCACCTCAACGCACGGCCATGGCTGCCTCTCTAGCCGGTGGCGGCGCCCCTCCCCCCACCTTGGTGTCCTCACCCACGGGGAATGCCCAACGCCCGCAGATCCGAGCCCCACCTCAACGCACGGTCATGGCTGCCTCTCTGGCCGGTGGCGGCGCCCCTCCCCCCACCCTGGTGTCCTCACCCACGGGGAATGCCCAACACCCGCAGATCCGATGGCCCTCTCCCCCACCCCGGCGAGATCCACGGAGCACGAGCAAGATCCATGGTGGTAGCGCGGCGGTGTTGCAGGGAGACGGCAGCTCTCCCCCACCCCGACGCGGCGCCCTTTCTCACCCCGGCAACCGAGCTCCCCCCACCCAGGCAGCGATGGTGCTCCCTACCCTTCATTCCCTCCGTCGCCACCGAGCCAATCCCGGTGTCGTTAGCGCTGGTGGTGGTGGTGTTCGCGCGCACCGCTACTGCTGGTGCTGGGTGGTCCTTGCGCGCAGCCGCTCGCTGCCGCCTCCCACCCCGTCGGCCGAAATCGATCGGCCCAGGCCTCTCCCCCCCCCTATGTTGCAAGTGTACGTTTCAATTGTTTCAGACATTTTAGAGGTACATTGCAATCTTTTCATATGGATGTTGCAAATGTTTCAGAGGCATGCTACAAGCGTTTGTTCAAACTGTTTCATCTGTTTCTAGAAGTATGTTGCAAACGTTTTGATCTGGATGTTGCATATATTTTTCACACATATGTTGCAACAATATGTTCCAAAATATTTTATCTGTTTTAGTCTTCTATTTTCACGTTGCAAGTCAGAAGTGTTCTATCTGGATGTTGCATATGTTTTCACACATATGTTGCAAGTGTATCACACTATAAAAGAGCGAGTTTTTTTAGGGGGGCTCTCCCTCTATAACAACCGTTCGATTTAGACGTCATGCTATATAAGTCTTCCGTCATCCATAATCTTACATGTAAGATGGAAGACTCCTCCTAAACCAAGATTCCTCCTAAACCATGAAAAAGGAAAATAATAATAATAATCTAAAAGAGCGAGGTTTTTTAGGGGGCTCTCCCTCTATAACAACCGTTCGATCTAGACATCATGCTATATGAGCCATTCTTCATCCGTGATCTTACATGTAAGATGTAAGACTCCTCAACCAAGATTCCTCCTAGATCCTGAAAAAGGAAAATCTATACCTAATAATAAAGAGACAAAATTTTAGCCTATTTTGTTCGTCCAACCATTTTTTATCCGTCTCTCTCTAACTACCGGACAATAAAGAGTTTCTTCTGTCCGGACTTGTACTCTAACTACCGCACAATGGAGAGTTTCTTTCGTCCGAACTTATATATATAATAATATAACCTGTGCCCATACGAGTTAAAATAATTCACATCTTTCTAAGATTATTTGGTTACATACAAATGGACTAGGATTAGAATTCTTCTTTCTGGTTTCCTTTTAAATAGCGTCCGTGTGTTTTACAACAAGAGTCCGGGTAGCCAGCCGGTCAAGGTACAGATAGACAGCGAAGAGGAATTAATTATTCACAATATATGCTGTGTTTGCATGCATGCCGTGATTAAGGGAGAATCCTAAATAATTAATAACTGCAGCCGACTTGTTTATTTGGTATATGTATGCACACATAATCTGAACAGGAGTCTTTTCACGTGATTGGTTGAATAAAATACGTCTCTTCTTGGTTTAGAAAAAGGACGACATGTTTTAGATTCCGACTTTGGCTTCTTGACCAAACCGGTTTACAAAATATGCTTGTACGATTTGAATCTACTGATTCAACCAGGAAAGATCAGCTGCGACCATTACATAAATCTCCAAATCGCAAGTCATTCTTGTAACCACTCAGCAAGTTGTACGTCCCGGTGCAACGCACGGGCATGCGTTTGCTAGTGTTCTAAATGTTTTACCTATTTTAGACGTATATTGCTAATATTTTATCTGAATATTGCATATGTTGCAATGTTCATACACATATATTGCAAGTGTATGTTGTAAATGTTTCATCTTTTTCGGACGTATGATGCAACAAATGCTTTACGTTGCAAGTGTGTTTCATCAGCAGGTGTGGCTAGGGGGCGCAGGAAGAGGTTATCCCCTCGGGCACAATGGTCCCTGCGTGCGCAAGGGAAGCCAAGCGGGCACAGCAGCAGACATGGAGCACAAAGCTATATCCATGGGCGTGAGCAGAGCAGGCGTGGAGCACGAAGTTGCATCCATGCTCGGCTGCTCTCTCTCTCTCTCTCTCTCTCTCTCCTTATTCCAGATTGATGCGGCTGGTCAGCAGTAGTATCTTGCGCCAGCAGCAGCATGCGGGCAGCAGGAGTGCGTGGCTAGGCGTGGACCGTCGCTGCTACTCCTGATGGTAGCGGGCGCGATAATTTCCCCCCACAAACGTGCACGTTCAAATCGGGACCCAGCGACAGAGGCACGGGGGAAGAAGGAGCATGTGCGGGCGCATCAATCTAGCAAATTATAATAGTGGGCAGCAGGCGTGCACTACAAGAAATGTGTGGCTTTTTGACATTCTATTACGTCATAATATATAGAATTTAAGTCATAAATTGAGATTTTTGACATCTAGTTGATGAAAATACAAACGTAAAAAAGCCACCATCATAAATTGATTATGTGACGCTTGTATATTTAATGTCACAAACTTATGACAATGGATTATTGTCACAAGTCCTTACACCATGTCATATAGGCAGATGATGTGGCGCTGAGTTGCCAGGTCAATAAACGTCATAAAATTGAAATACGACCTGTTAAGGCCCATGTGGTTGCCAGATTTATAACAGGCCCAAAACATTATTTGGGCTGTTTTTTTCTACACCGTGGTCCACTTGTTTTATAATTTTTCAACCCATTTAGCTTCCTCAACCCATTTAGCTTCCTCAAAAAAAAATTGTGGCCCAAATTTTCTATCAGCCAAACCCAGCAAACACGCAACCTGATTTTAATTTGGTACATCCCACCAAAATGGCCCAAGCATAATAGATAAAAGCAGCCCATGTAACACGTATATGCCAACAAAATATATTTAATCAACTATTCATTGTACATTATTATCCATATACTCCTAAATTTCACTAATGACCAAAATACACTATTTTACAAATAGGGACAGATCTCATCAGGTTCAGTTAAAAATACTTCCTATAAC